AAAATGCACATCCCAAATTGCATTTATGGAGCTTATTCTACTAAACATCATAGTAAACTAATAATATCCATTTTTCAATCATTGTTAACATTTCAATGAAGTACTTTAAAAACAATTTGCCATTAGCAATTTTTTACCAGTACAAAAAGAGAAAGTCCTCTGAGTTTTCCTTTCTATTCCTTGTAAGAAATTACTTCAAATGAATCAAAATTAAATTACATGACTGTCTGTTTAGGTTTTAAGACTTATCTTCCATTTCACTGCCTTGATATTTCATATTACTAAATACTCATCACCAGTAGGAGAGCACTGGGAACAGTGCTTTGTTAAATTTATCTGTTATATAGTTGATATGTATGGATGTGTCTTAGTAGCCTCCAAGGTCATTCTGCAGAAAAATAAAAGTGTGTACATTTTATTTATGAAATCAAAAGCTAGGATTCTGCACTATAAAAGCAAGAACCTACCAATTCATTCATAAGCAGAATTATGCCTAATGTTTCATCTAGCAAGAAGTGAATTTAATTATATACAGAACTCCAGGATACTGCATAGTATTAGCTGAAATGCTAACAGTTTTTGAAAATATTATCTATTTATAATAGGACTTAATGGAAAGATCGCTAGAGTATAAAAGTTCAAGTAATCATTTTCTTTCCTATGTAACTTTTCCAGAAATTCTTTTGTATTTTATATTTGTTCAAGTGATAATTCTAGGTTTTCTGCATGACCCAGACAGTAATCAACCCAATGCTATCCATGCTAAGTTAAATTATCTATTTAAATTACACAATAGTTAACGTAACAGTAATAGTAATAGTAAAATAAGGGGGAAATAGTGGGATCTTAAAAAATGTATAACGTAAGTACACAGGAATTAGATCAGAGATCCATGGAAGGCAAGCAGATTTGTGAAGAATACAGAACATTCTCAGCAGCATGGGGAGAAATCATTATGTTCTTCTCTATTATTTTTTAATAATTTGGGCATCATCCCCCAGTCAAATAATTGAATGATAACAGAAGATTAAGACAATATAATTTCCCATGATGTTTCTCTTTTAAACATAAGAGGGTGGCATATCTCCCCTATTGCTCTGCATTATCTTAAAAGAGAGTAAGGTGAATAACGTAAGTATCAAGTTATGATTACAAGGCATGATGATTAAACAAGGAGCAGTAAAAGCTTTTGTGTCACAAAGGGGTTGCAGTTCATTCAAGCAATTCGTTCAGACAGTAATTTGCATTAGCTAATAAGCTATGAGAGATAACAGGACCTAGAACAAAATAAATCACTCAGTTCTGATTAGTACCACTGGACTTTTAAGCCCATGCCAAAAGACAACTGCATGGAAATTGATTGAGACTCTACTGGAGCTATATGGCTAAGATAAACAGCATCAGCCCAGGCAACCCTGCAGAAATCTCCATGTGAAGAAACCATTATGCTATAGCCTTAACATTTTTCCATGTAAGGAAATCCTTCTCAGGAAAGTTCCCCACATAAAAGCAACATCTACATCTTCATATAAATACAGGAAGTCCCCAGGTTAAGAACGCACAGGTTACAGATCACCCATAGTCAAGAACAGAGCTTATTGTAGCAAAATTTAAGTTAAATACACAGTGATTTTAGTTAAATACCCAATTGTTTGAGTTCATTACACAATACTACTTATACAGTATTATACTATTCCGGCTTACATACAAATTTGACTTAAGGAATTTAAGAAGGAATTAAGGACCTTGGGAACTTAACTTGTTCTTAAACTGGGGACTACCTGTATAACTACTTAATTATTCATGGGTGACCAGAACCTGAAGATGGTAAAAAATCTTATGGGAGGATATTCCAGTTAACAAAACTGTAATGTATATAATTCAGCATTTTCTCACTTCCTCTTGGCCCTGAGAAAGGATTATTTAACTCTGACTGTTTAAAGCCATGTTTTTTTTTTTTTTATTGATAAGACCAGGAGTTCAGAAAGATCATCTAGGCAGGATGTTTGACTTTATTATCTCTCTCTTTAATTCAAAAAACTATGAATGTGAATTTTTCTTAGGAAACCAATACACTTTTCTAAATTATTTTACAAGGAATTCTTAACAAACACATCTTCAAACTGCAACAGAACTGAAACAGTTTTGAGAAGCAAGATCTACTGATGAATATAAATTGGGTGAACTGGCAAAATACATTTAGGAAATATCATCCCTAAAAAGCTGGTATAGGAAGTGAACAGTACTGGTGTGTTGTAATACAAAGAACTAAAGTAACTCACAGAGACCAAACACAATTTTTATGATTCAACTGTAAAGAATGTTGACAAAACTCCTCCAGACAAATACTATTCCTTCAAATTTTATAATATGCAGCAAGCCAAAAAGTATTACTAACACACAGCACCCCTTAGCTTACATACCTAATTATATACCAGTATATGATGAACATAGATTTAAATGCAAGTATATATGCTAGACAATTCCTACTTGTCCAATATTACCTGACCCTTATAATAACTTCTAAAGGATTATTTGAGCACTGTTATCTGCTACAGCATCTGTTACATTACCAGTTTCCTTTTCTGTTTATTTCACTACAAAAAGATTATGCTTCTAACCACATGAGAAAGATACCCCCCCCCCCACACCCATGGGCTGAGTATGAAATGAGCATGATCTCCTAAAACGGAAAACAGGAAAATAAAAATAGAGAGTGGAACACCAGGGAGATGTTCAAAAATCATTTAGTGACTTCTGCTATTTAGGACCTGGGATTTGTTGCAAAATGGCACATCAAAAAACATGGCGGTCCTGGGCAATTCGGATAGTTGGAAGGCAGGAAGTCTTACTTTATATATTTTCTTATAGAAATCAGAAGCTGGACTGAAAAGGAGGGGACAAACTCTTTTTTTTTTTTTTTTTTTTAACCAGTTGACTCTGTATCCTCATCTCTGCCTATAAAATGGGATTTAAAACGTTATGCCTTACAGCAGTATCACTTCAGTAAAGAAAGTAGACAATAACTACATTCAGTACTCAAAAGGTCTGTTGATCAGAGCAGGGTAATTGTGCATGATTCAGAACTCCTTGCACTGAAAGGTTATTTTGGATTCTTTGTGGTAAACAAATTATACAGTCCCCTTTGCTTTCTGTAATGTTCTGTTTCCAGCTCACAAGAGACTTAGACAGCCTCTGTTCAGAATGTATATAGTTAGCATCCTGGACGGCAACTACTGAATTCAAGTATTGCTAAATACAGTATGCAATCAAAAATATTTCAGGTCAGCCTTCTATGTCTTTTGTAATGGAGTTGGGGCTCTGCTAAACTATGAAAATAGAGGTCCCCCCCATTTCAACTTGTTTAGAAATATGTTAGATAATTTTTATATACAGCACGCCATTTTGCATGCTTTCTACTTTCTATGACTTTAAATAGTTTGCAGTAAGTAAGTTGTTATTAGATCTATGAAACTTCACTAGAACTGTCCAATATATTTTCATATGAATACTTCATTATTTATTGGCTTTGACACAACATAATGTATTCATCCTCCATATATCATGTGCATTTGGAAGAGCTATATAAATAATATGCAGCTGATCACCTACATGAATTTTACCACTGCACCCATTTAGAATGTTTACATAGGAATGTGAATCTGTAGAAGAGCAAAAGCTCTGTCAAAGCAATTCAAGACATATATTAAAAATGTCACCCACTGGCATTTAACACAACACAGGTTGGACTGCATTAAACTAAAGATCTACATTGATTCTACAATCCAAAACATATTGGGAAGCTTGTCTTGTATATTCTGGGCGTGTGCAGCAATATATCACTGTTTAGAAATGACTTGATTAATGAAATGACAGGCTACCTGATACTGCATGTTTACAGTGAAGCATTATATATTATCTTAAAGATTTGCCTGATTATATAAGGCAACATGGTAGTAACCATAACAAAAAAACCTCTGGGCCATGAAACAGTGGATTAGACCTCAGGCAGGAAGGTAATTATGAAAAAAAATATCACACATAGTTTTATGCCAGCAAACACCAGGACCAAACATCAGCTAGGAGGAGAAAGGTGTATTGAGTCCCAAGAGGAAAGATCTCAAAGAAACATTGGTTTCAAGGCCATTTTAGACTGGTGGCAAGAACATTAAGAAAATGGCCTTAGGTATGTTTGAACTATGGCCAAAGGAATCAAAAGTTTGGTTCAGAGGCTGAAGTCGGACTTTTGCCTTCATAACTGTGAAAGATTGGCCAAGTGAGCAATTACAAAAGTTTCAAGGAACAATCAAAGGTTCCTAGAATTCAAGTAACTGTAAGTTCATTCAGGACTATGTTGAAGTGAGTACAATTCAGGATTGGCCTGTATTTCCCAGCACTTTAGACTGACCAATACATTCCTAAGGCAGAGACTTCATAGTCAAAAGTCTTGTTACCCTTAATACATTTCCACTGTTTTACTTACATGACAATTACTACTAATATATTTAGAATAGATAGATACAGTTTTTTAGTATCAAGATAGTTATCATGTGCTGTGAAGATGTTAAAATATATTAAAAACAAAATGCATGTTGTGAAATGCCATGTGCATGTGTCCAGAAAAATATATACATTTCACTACAAGGAATCTACAGAATTTTCTCTTTGAAAGTAAATACACAGCTCAAGTATACCCTACAAGTCAAGACATTATTTTGGCTCATTTCATTATTATCCCCAGAGGTTAGTAATCCTAGTATTGAAAGTAAAGCAAATGATCGTCATCACTGCCGGTACCAGAGAATTCAGAAAGAGCTCTGCATTAATTTCTGATCATATTCTTATTGACAAGTTCTGTACGGGTTTAGAAGCAGAGAAAGTAGATCCAAAGTTCAATATTTCTTTGTAATAAAAAGCAGTGTTTTTTCCCATTTCCCTTCTCCTAGAATACTAAACCAAGAAATACTGTATTTGCAAAAGGGGGAGGAAAACCGACTTACCCCAGCCAATGCAAAGGTAAAGCCGGAAGATTCTCTGCTCAGAAAATACCGAGAGGGCTAGCAGAGTATACAGGTACATTCCTTCCACCAGTAGCCAATAGTAGTTTGCAGTCACACAATATTGCATCATCACAAAGATCAGGCGGCAGCTAAGAGACTCCTGAGAGGGCAGAGAGTTGAGTCAATACTTCAGGTGCTGCAGAGCAGGAACAATGTAAAGAGACATGAAACCACAATGCTTCTTCTCTCTCAAATTTAATAACAGAACCACCTTTGGCGATTGTCAACAGGCTGAAAACAATCAAATTCAGTAGCAGCTACTCCTTCAACTGTCTTAGCTGCTTTGCAGCACTATAATGTTTTCATATGCAGGTATGAAACCATAAGCCCAGAGGGAAACCCAACCCAAGCTGCAGCTTCCTTTGTGTTCACCCTCCGCAAAAGAAGTCTCTCTAGATATAAGGCCTCAGTTGAGCAATATGGGTTATGGCACGTGGAAGCTGCCAGGAAAGTGCCTTAAATGATGCAGAGATGCCTGGCGGAGGCAAAACTTTGCTTGTTCAAGTTGCCTCTGCCAGATTATGCAAATTCTCTCTTTTTCCACTGCAGCTCTTATGCCTCATCATATACTGAAGAGATTTTGGAAGGGGAGTGTGTCCTCCTTCTGTCAATTTGCAATTCTCAGAACATAGGCTATTGTCCAAAGATACCACTTTGTATAAAAATAAGAAGAGACAACCTAATCAGACAACCTAATCAAGAATAAAATAAGAGACAACCTAATCAAGAATAAAAGAATTTTATCAAGAATAAAATAAGAAGAGACAACCTAATCAAGAGAACGCTTAACGACCTAACCAAGAAAGGCCAGATCACAAAAGAAGAACAGTGGCAGATGAAAAGCA